GAGGCATATTTACCATATGTTGCTAACAGAGCTAAGCAGAGCATTATCACATGAGACCTAATGTATTTACAAAGCCATGGGAGTTGGTTTTAGTACTGCCTATGAAGTTGGAGTTGTCACCACACCTGGAAGCAAGTTAACATTGCGCTAAGCAGGATCTGAAGATTTGAGTACTAGAAGGAGGCATAAATGTATGGATGCCCTACTGAGAGTAAGTGTTTGACAAGAAATTGGAATGATTCTTTCTCTGCTGAACTGGCCATCCTACTGCTTTTGCTGTTTAACAGCAGAGTTTCTACTAGTGTCTTCTATTTCTTGAAGCTATTAGATGAACCGTTCACATTTATGAGGAGTGGATGCCATGCTGTGAATCAGCAGCAGGGCAAGCCATATGTTAGCCTGATCTTGTAAAGTGCTGGGTAGCTGGAGCACCCTGGTGAGGCTTAGCTTCTCTTACCCTGAGCTCATGTTTCCAAGCTGTTTAACATGCAAACCTAAGCCTGTAAGAATGTAACAGTTACTAGATTGCTGGAGAACTCTGTTTTGTAGGAAGATGACAGGCACATACAGACAGAGCTGCATAAAACTGTTGTATCAAGACCCAGTTCTTTCTGTGTTGCACCTGGTTTTGAAGGTAAATGTGTTCCCTAGTTCTGAAAAGATGAGAAGACTGCAACTGCCTCACGGACCTCCTCCTTCAACCACCTACCTGTTGGTAGGCCAAATTTTATTATGTATCATTCTGCACATACAGGGTGCATGGATAAATACCTTTACCAGTATCTTGCTTGTTTACATGAAGAAGCCTTTGGCAGTTCTGTGTGCTGATTACTTACAGAGTTTTAAAAATGCCAGCTTTAGCTGGAGTAGGAAAGTAGCTTTGCAGAATGCTTTGTTATATTGGGATTGGGATTGAACATGGTGGAATAGCTCTTTGTTTTTAGAAGTTAATTTATAGCTCAACTTAATCCTTTATATGCCCTCAAATCTGGAGTCTGTTAGACTTCAGTGTATTGGTCCTCAGAGTTTATTTTGGAAAAATACAAAAAGAGACCCTAAAAAGGGATGGACTGTGTCACTAGTAAATGGTTAACGGCATGGGATTTTATTACAAATGGGTTACAGAAAAATCACTCTCTTCTGATGATATGAACAGCTTGGTGAGTAAAGGTGATAATGAAGAAGGTGGAATCAACCCAGAAAAATCACATGCTTTTGCTCTGGCACTAGATTGAAAATAACAGTTGGACATTTTCTTGCTGACTTACTTGAAGGAAGGGTGAGATACTGAAATAACTTGAGAATTAAACAATGTTTTTTAATCTGTTGTTTTTTTTCATTTCTGGGAGATTAATGCTAGATTCAAGACACCGCTTCCATTACCTTATCTATTTGAACTGGTGTTAGTGAGCTTTATAATAGGGCTAGCATGCCGTAGCATGCCAGCCAAGGTTAAAAAAGAAAAAAGTCAGCATGTGTAATCATAACAGATTGCTTGATACTTATTTGCATATAGTCTTCTTTCCTTCTAGTATACTTTTTTACATGAATGCTACATTGATGTTTTCTTTGCTAAGTAAAATCATCTAATGAAAATGAATGTATTCTCGAGGCCCAGTACTGCTTAATTTTGCCCTCATATAGAATACTTGGATTTCTGTTCAGGATTATTTGGTTTCTGCCTGATACATCATCTCATCAATAGTTTTCCCACTCCAGAAATGCTTGACAAATTTTGAAATGTCAGGTAATGTGGAAGAGATGTGAGCGGGCAGTCAGGATTGTGTGGTAGCTTTTCTTTTGCTGTGGTATACTGAATTTCAGTCACTTCAGGATAAAAGCAGTGGATGTTCTGTATTTCATGGGAAAATGTCTTGGAAATGGATTAAAACCTGTTAAAATAATTTGCCTGGATTTAGTGGATCTGCCACATTGAAGCAATGCAAATAACTTTTAAGTCTTGAGACCGATTAGTATCGGGGGAGGGGGAAGAGAAGGCTGGTTAGAAAGAAATGGGAGGAGGATTAAACCAAATTTTCCCAGATCAGTGTGTTTAGCAATGAAGTATTACCACTAGGTCAGCAGAGCACTTTGCCTGCTTCCTGTTCTTTAAGCAGTGTCCCTGTGTTTCTGTTTGCTAGCTTAATTTGATTTGTTTACAGCTGTTTGGGGAGGGGGGTGTGTTTGGTTGTGTTTTTTTTTTTTCCCCCTAGTGATATAATGAATGATTTTGTACCTCTCCTGGGAACAAAGTCTAGCAGAGGTTGAGAGGGAAGATGAAGGACCCAGGGTTAACTTTTCCACATAGGCAGGGATTGAATAACAAGTTTGTTTGTGGTGTTCTGACACAAAGAGCCAAACCTATATATGAAAAATGTGACCTGCTGGCATCAGTGGGATATCAGTGATGTGTGGAGCTGTTGTTCCAAAATCAGCCCAATATCCCAAAGTAAATTTTATGTCAGGCCCTTCCATCAATTTGTTCTGTACCTGGAGTAGCGTGCCATGAATGTCTGCTTGGGATCTGTATGTGACTGTTGTCACCTGATCATATACTTGATATGATGTTAATTTACAGCCCTTTGAGACCCGCAGGGTTTATGTATTCCCCCATTACCCTGTCACATACTGGAGACTGCTCCCAGGGAATGGTGATCGCTGGAAGATGCTTCTTCCACACACCTCTTTGCATTGCCCATTCTCAAACTGTCCCACACAGATGCGTAATGATGCTCTTTGTTCCTCTTTGGATATTGGGTGAGGAAATTGAGGATCTGGTATCTTTAAAAACCAAACTGTTAGACTTTGAGGATGGCTGACACAAAGGGATGGGATGCCTTTGGTGTCAGCCAGTTATTCTGAAGCTTCTTTTAGTGGTAGCAAGTTTAAGCCAGAATCTTTTATTTTCCAAATTCAGAACAGACCACACAGTTGCAGACTTTGAAGGAGTAAGTGAAATGGAAAAAAAAAAAAAAAAAAAAAAAAAAAAAAAAAAAGGAAAAGAGAGGCATGTTTCTAACACTCAGTTTATTTCAAAAGATTTCTCTCACCCTGACCCAAATGTACAACTGACAGATGGCATCACAGTTGCTGTGAGGACTTAGTCTTCTTGCAGTTCTTACTCAGTTTACTCAGCTCTATCTTTGAGGTTGTGTTTATGAAAAAGATCCTACCTCTGCTTCTTTTTGTAATCTTAAATTCATCTTTGGACTCCCCCCACATACATACAAAAAGCCAAACAAACCCTTTTAATGTCATCAGTCCACATAGAAGGAGTCTCATCCTTCCTGTCATCAAGTCATTGCTTTCTAGCTCTTGCTTTGAAGGTGACAAAGTCTTTTGTGTGTTCTTACAGCCTGTGGGCAGATAGTTAAGGCTCATTCCTATCCTTGCCTGAGCCATTAGCAAGGTTTGTTAGTTTATTTTAAAGCATGACATCCTTTTGCATTGACTGGCTTGGGAAATATACCAAGTGTCTGTGTAAAGCTTTTTCATATTAAAAACTGTGCAGTCTGCATAACCAACCTGCAAATCATACATGAGTCCTTGGCATTATTACTGTGCGAAAGTGTAGTGTTCATTACTAATTGGTGTGAGACCAGAAACAAGAATAATCCATCGCTGTGAGGTGGGAATAGTCATGGCATGTACATGATTTGAGTTTGGACCCAGATTAACTCAGTTCAGAGCCCTTGTTTGTGCCTTAGAGGGCCTCTGCTCTCCCATCTCCAGCCACCAGTGAGTATTATCACCATAGTGTTTTAAGTTGGTCAGAATTAGTTCACCCATCTTTTTCTGCCATGTGTTCCCATACAGCTGCTGTTACCTAGGCTGTGGCAACATCTCTTTGTTCTTTCTGATTTGGGCATACTTAAGACTCTGACTAAGTGTTTGGGCTTTGCTGTTCATATTAACTCCTTCCTGGTGTGCCAGGGTGGTGCAGAAGCACCAGGCTGTAATGCACTATGTCAGAGGTGGCATGAGGCCAAAGTCAAGGGTGTTTCAGAATCTCTGGCCCAGATAGTTAGCTGTGCCGTGCTCTGCGTGCTCAGGATGACAAGGGAGAACAAGAGAGCACACAGACTGTCCCAGTTTTAATGGTTTCCTGTACCAACCCCAGCATAAAGGCTGCTGTTAAAGTAGTTCAGAGTTTGCTCTGAGTTTTACAAACTCCTATGGCCTTATGTGTTTGGAGAGAGGAATAGGTTATTTTGGTTTAAGTTAAATGAAAAATGATTGGTGTTCTGTATTACTGAGGAAGAGAAGGATCTGACAGGGGTTCAGACAGATCCCAGTTTCCCCTTCTCTTTTTTTCTTTTATGCCAGTTTTAAGTCAGTTAACAAATCAGGAACAGAGGATTTGATACACTATTGTTAGGAATACATTGAGTAAAGATTGACATATCCAAATGCTTCTCTGTTTTTGTTTTTTTTTTTCCAGCTGTCAAGCAAAATTGTACTGTCTCCCTACAAGTCTTGCTTTGTGTAAGCACATCTTAAGGATGCGTTATTGGCCAGTTTAACCATGAAAATACAGAATTATGTGCTGTTTTGTACTCCTATATCAACTTAAAGCACTATAATTACATCAGTATGTTCCCTGAGCCTGAATGCATTATATAAAGGCACAGTTACTGGTTCTCTTTATTGCTCTAATGTTTAGGGAAAGATGGTTAACCTGTATGAAATATTCTCATGCCTGTATGACAGCTGTCATGTCTGAGGTTGTTCTAGTTTTGTTATTTGGGGGGGAGCCCAAACTAAACCCCAAATCCTACCTCTCTTCAGGATGGTTGTACAAACTGTGTGTTGATTAGGTCTGAAGTGTACATGTTGTTACTGCTTCTCTATGCAGATATTTTGAGACTGATTGTTTACATATGACTGAGTATTTGTATAAGTAGTTGCAGATTGGGTCAAGAAGCTGGTAACCAAGTAGTAGTAACAGCAGAGCTAAAGACCTTTCATTATTTCTATTAACATGTCTCTTTTGCTTGCAGAATGAAATGTGTCTTGCCACACAGCAGCTTTCGAAGCAGCTCCTTGCCTATGAAAAGCAGGTATGTTCAACTTACACCTTTGATTTCTTTTCAGCCTCAGCACTTGCGAAGAAGTCTGTGTAAATAGTGTGGTTTCCAGAAGTGCTTAGGGCATTGGCTTTACTTGGGTTCATGTGAAGGCTGTTGTAAGATTCCCTAGCATGTTCAAGGGAGTTAGGTCACTTCTAAGAATCTTTAAAAAAAAAAAAAAAAAAAAAAAAAAAGGTGCAAAATGTGAGTTAGTAAATTTATGAAGATGCAGAACAGATTGTTCCTATCGTATCTTTATGACTTTAAAACGAGTATAATAAGCATTAATTATGTTGTCCAAAATCCATTCATTTAAAACAAGAGGTCCAGGGTAAGACAGTATGTATTAATGTTACTGTTTTTCTGTTTAGTTTTATCGTTTGTTGTATTTTGTAGGAGTATTTGTTACCTTTATAGTGAAACACGTGTTGTATTTTATACTTGCCTTTATTGATTTACGGACCAAACGTGTGTTTCTATTTTCAGCATTTTGCCTTAGGTAAAGGAGATGAAGAAGTGATATCCACCCTTCATTACTTTTCAAAAGTTGTGGATGAGGTAATTTGAATTGTCAATAGTCTATTTTTATAATACAGAATATCAGTGGTTTTTCTTTTGATTCTGAGCCTTTCCACGGAAGGCTAGATTGTGCCTGGGTTTCATAGAATCATTTAATTGGAGGAAAAGAAGTATAATATCGCTGTTTCATAATGGTTAGAGCTGTTTCTGTGGCTTTGTCCCACATGCTGTCCTCAGAGCAAAGCTGAACTTCCTAAATAGGGGAATTAGAAAAGAGATTGAAACAGGGCGTTTCATCTAGGGGCCATTCTTAATTAAATTCCATTTAAAAATGGCATTTACATTTTTAAGCTTTAAACACTGCAGTTTGAGCCAAAACCTGCCAGGAATGGATATAGGGCAGCTGTGAATTAGTAAAGTTGCAGGTTAGTTGCTGTGAGATCACACAGAATCCAGAGATGTCTGGAGGAGTCTGCAGAAATGCCTGCTGGAGGTAGGTTAGGTATTACAGCTGTGTGCACTGAACACTTCTACTCTCTGTAGGTTGTTGCTGAGTACTGAGCACCTTTCTAAATGTTCTTATTAGATCTTCCCATATAACATTTCAATATAATCTTAGTATCTAGGTCCTTATTGCTTAAGTATCATTTGCCACATTTTTCTCGTTCTGTTGTCAACAGGGCTGTGCCATCAGAGAAGTGGTGTTGTTCTTCTTAGTCTACTTTTAATTTCCGTTAAGAAGGCAAAAGGTCTACTGTCTGGGAGAGAAGAGGAGATAGGAGGGTTGTGGGGCAAAAAATAAATTAAAATTTTTAGAGCCCATAACAATGTAGTGAGAAGAATCCCAAAGGTTATCTTTTCCCTTAGGCTTCTCCCACTGCACATCTGCTCTCAGGGGATACTTGAAAGGAGCATTTATTGTCACAAGTGTTGTACTTGCCTGTGTAAACTACAAATCAATTAAAACAGGAACTTTCTCCTTCCCAGGTACAAGAGAACCATCCCATTTGGGAGCAGAAAGTTTAAAGCCTCTCTGTTCAGTTGTCAGTCATATTTTTCCTTCCAAGAACTTGTTCCATTCCTCAGCCTCCTTTTCTGTGTGTTAGCTACCCTCTGTACCTGTTTCTCAGTTGTCTGTTCTACAGGCATTGAATTGTCCTGATTTAGTTTTATATTGTCTAGTGGGAAATACTGATTTCATCCTCACCTGTGTAACCCTGCCTAGAGGCCTCTAGGATACCATGAGCAAGTGGACAGGGTATCATGTCAGTGTCTGGTGCACTCCTAGTTTGCAGCATCAGGTGTGATTGATAGTTGTCCTACCTGAACCCATCTAATATTCTTAGCATGCCACTGCTGACATGGGAGACTTGCCTTCATCCTAAACAGCATCATACAAGTGCTTTAAAATATGTCTCAGTGTGCTGAATTTTAGAGAAATACAAAAACAAGAACAGAAAACTGCTCTGAAGGTGAAGTACTTGAATGGGACCTTTCATTGTGTTTGCCCCCTGTTGTGATTGTGTCCCAAGTAACCCTCATCAATGTAGAGAGATTCTAGTCATGATGTTGGGGTTGTAACCCTGTGGTGTAGAGACTAAGAAAAACTGGTTAATAAAGCTAATTACAGATTAAGTCCTGTTGGGTTAAACATTAACATTAATCGTCAAGTGAATTGCCCTAATACTGTATGTGGATCCTTGGAAAACACCAGGCAGGAATCAAGCATTTAAGGGAAAATCCCCATGTGTCTCAGAATCCTTGAGAAATATATGTTAAGCACTGAAGTACATAATTCTCTTTTTTTGTCTGCTGGCTGATCTGCTTCTTCAACAGCTGTAGAGTGCTGTTATTTTTATTTTTTTATTTACACTGTGTCTTAGGGCATTCCTCTGTTCTCTGTTTCAGCTCAATATTCTTCATTCTGAACTGGCAAAACAGCTTGCAGATACAATGGTTCTCCCAATAATACAATTTCGGGAAAAGGATCTCACTGGTAAATTTTATTTTAAGTTTCCTCATGTGTTCCTTCTTGCTTATTTTATAATAAACTGAGACATAATGTCACACAGTAATATGTTCTTTGATTCACAGAAAAATTTTTTGTGCTTTGGGGTTTTTTTTCTGCTACAGAACTTCATTGACAGGTGCATGCTTTTACTCAGAAACAAATAGTGCATGTTCACAGTATAACATTTTATGCACCACATGGTGCAAGTTTGAAAATACACAGCTTTGTTCTTTGTTGGGTCACTCTGCTTTTACACTAGCATAATTTTACTGAAGTCATTGATGTTGAAATGATCTCAAGAAGGAAAATTCAGCAGTGAATCTGGCTTGAAAACAGCATTTATCCCACTTTAGTTTGGGTGTGTTTGAAAAGCACAAGCAAGAATGCTTTTTTAACTTCAGAGTATAGTATATTCCCTCCCTTTTAACAAATCAGGCTGCTTTGAATCCTTGCCATCCTAGGGTAGTTCCAAGCAGCCTGATTGCACAACCTTGGAAATGCATTACTTAAACAGCGGAGCAATAATGCAAATGTTTGGTGTAATTTCAAAAGAAAGAATTTAATATTCATGGTCAAGGACACTTCTCATGCAACAAACCCACGAGTTTTTACTGCAGTGTTTTCATATTTTTTTTTAAAAAAACCCCGCTTCTCAACTCATTAAGTTCAGTCCTGTTTACTTTTTAAAGACATCATTTTGATGGGAGACAAAACAACTATAGCAGAGTAGTGACTTGTTAAGGTTTCTTTTAGCATATCATTTGAAGTTCTGAAGACATCAATGGATGTCTTGTTTATAATATATTGTCAATATAAAGCAGTATTTGGGTGGTAAAACCTTGATCTGTTCCTAACTCTTCAATGTGGCTTCACTGAGACAGTGATTTTGCTCCCACCTTTATGGATTCTGCCTCCTAGTTCATTAAAAAAGATGTAAAAAGAAAATGCAAGTGAAGCCTGCAACCAAAGTCTCAACTGCTTCATGGCAGAAAATTAAATTTTCTTCAGCTTCCCTGGATGTCAAAATCTTTTTTGTTCGATCCATCCACCACAACCTCCATTTTTCTCTGACATGGTCTGTAGAACAGCATTTTTAGTAGAGGCCTGGCCATATTGAAGTTTCATCGTAGAATTAAACAACGAAGATTAGCTGTGTTCTTGTTTTTACTTTTGATCTTTTTATGTGTATGTATTGAATACTGTAGAAAGCTCTAGGTACAAGTTAGTGACACCTGGGAATAATTTCTGTCTTTCTGCATTAGAGTCACGAGGAAGTGTTCTGGGGAGAAAAAGGTGGCATAAAGGTGGTTACAGATAATCAGAGACTGTGATGACATTGTACAATTTCCCCTTATTCTTTTCACAGTTGTAGAATGTCTGTTCTAGTGAATGTACTTTCTCTGTAGATTTTTGGGAAGGGATTTGCCAGTTGCAGCATATGTTAGTATGGACACTGAGAGTAGCTTGTGCCCAACAACTCTGAAAGTTGTCATCTGTTTACTTTCTCTTCCTTCTACCTGTATCAGAAATTCATGGCCAGTGTTTGTCATGTAAGCATCATAGCCAGCACTCAGATGTGCTAGATACATACTTTTTTTCATAGAGCAACTTAGCAAAAAATATTCCAAGTTGATGAAGATCTATGTACAGGAAAGGGGCTTAGTTTGTATGTCTCTGGGACTTAGATTTATCAGTATCACATAACTGTTGTCAGGAAGTTGTTCACAACTGCTGTTCTTTTGTGATAGTGGTGGGCCTTTTGTCATAATGAGCTTCTTTGGGTAAATTCCACTGGCAGATAAGGAATCTTTTTCATAGTGACAACTTGCTCAATCAAGTAAACTCACTTGACTCTTAATTTGCTGTCTGCCTGTTCATTTCTCTAGCAGCTGATCTGGTTTATCATTTTCAAGACAAGCACAATTTACACATCTGTGCTTTGAAAGGATTGGAGTGACTTAGGCATTAAATGTGCCATAAATGGTCTCTGCTGAACAAAGTGTTTACAGCTGGTTTTACTTTGAATATTTTATTTCTCTTTTCCAGAAGTAAGCACCTTGAAGGATCTTTTTGGCCTTGCTAGCAATGGTATGTTTCCCTGGTTTGTTTATTTCTAATGGTGTGCACCTGTTACATCACAGAAGACATTTTTAATCTATGCAGACACACATCACATTTCTAAAAAAAATATTCCTTGTCTACAGAACATGACGTGTCCATGGCAAAGTATAGCAGGTTACCGAAAAGGAAGGAAAATGAAAAGGTAACGAACGTGAAAGGGAAAAGGAAAAGTTTTCATCAGCTGTTCTGTCTGCATCATTGTCACTTATGAACTTTGGAGAGTTCATCAGTTAAATTCACAGTAGCTTAACAGTACTTGTGATTTCGTTTCCAAGCAGACACAAAGCTTTTAGACATCAATTCATCATAGTTACACCTGTTTTCTCCAAGTGATCAAGTATTGTGCTGGAGTAGAGCCCTTCAGACAGAGGCAGTGCAAATGACTATAAATAGATTTGTATAGGCCTACTGTTACACAGCTGATGTGATGATGCTGTATCACTCGGTACAATTCAATTCATTGTGAACTGTCACGAAGCCTTGTGTCTGCTGTTTATAAAGCGTTTCATTTTTTTGCATCTACCTTCCTGCTAAATTTCTCTGTATGGATTGTCGTTCCATTTACGGTACATGTAACTCCGTTGGTGGAATTGTTTTACATTTCTTCTTCTTTGCCCACTGGATCACTATTCCGAAATATATCCCTGTATGCCAAAAAGTCTGTGATTGGCCCTATCCTAAGAATGCGTCAGTTCTACAGAATGGTGCTTCAAAGGAAAGGCATTACAGAACAGAATGTGATGTAGCATATTGTGAATTACCCATTCTGCACTTACAGGCTTGTGTTGTCATCTCAGCTGCAAATAAATTTCTTGCACTGAGATCAGATCTAGAATTTTAGTTGTGGCAGTTACATAGTTTGTAGTCACAGGGGCTTCCCAAATGCTGAAGTATCTTGCCAGAGTAGGTCTGGAAGTACTTGCTTTGTGTTTTGGATTTGCTTTCTTAGTTTCTGATCCTTCATTTTAATGTGGAGAAGTTCTGTAATGAGAGTTGTTTAAAGAAAACTTGAAAATGATCAGTAAATATATCCATATTCACAGTAACACTTTGTCATCTTCTTTATCATTTTTTATTCAGCTTAAGGCAGAAGTGGCAAAAGAAGTGGCAAATGCAAGAAGAAAGCAGCACCTTTCATCTCTGCAATATTACTGTGCCCTGAATGCTCTGCAGTACAGGAAGAGAGTGGCAATGATGGAACCTATGCTGGGATATACACGAGGACAGGTATGGACAGTAAAGTGTCTATTATCACTAAGACATGTCCCTGGGAAAATTAAAACATTATAGCTCTGGATTTTTTTTTTTTTGAGAACTGACAAACAATAACGGGGTGGGTGAAAAACTTTTATTCACCTTGCCTAGATTCTAACAAGGGATTTTTATTGTGGTGGTTAGCTGAATGTCTAGATATTCAGGAAAGACACCAATGAAAAAAAATTCCAGTACACTTACATGTAAAATCAGCCTGGGGTTAATTTTTTCAGGGCTAAGATATGAGTGCAGCAGCATTTACTTCCACTGTTTACTCTGTCTACACAAACTCTCTTATGTAGCAGTTCCCTTCCTGGCACGACATGTTCAGCATACTGATGAGGAGTGTACACGGTAGGGAACAGAGCATGCACTGGAGAACTGGAAGGATGGAACAGTAGAGTGAATTGAGCATAAGGCTGGCAAATCCTCTTTCTAATCTTTATTCTGCCAGCAATTTGATAGAGCATTACTCAAGCCTGTAAAATGCGGTAGTAATACTGATAATCTTGACTCTCCAGGATGTCAGGAGGATCAACAAACTAGTATTTTCACAGCACTTGATTCTCATTACCGCCCATTTTAAGGGTCTGTTGTGCTTCAACATGAAAGAAAGCGTTGGGAAAATGAGAATTTGTTTGTGTAAACAGGAAAAGTGGATACAGTGCTCTGTTTGAGATTATAGTGTGGATCATCATCTCCATTGTCCTGTGTCTTTTGCAGATCATGTGCCCCATATAAAATAGGTAATAAATGAGAATTCAGTCACTTTCCCCACCATGGGAGTTCATGCTGCTTCTCTGCTGTAATTATACTAAGTGAAAGAAAGGCATTGGTTTCCTTTACTGGAAGCCAAACAGAACTTTCTTTCCCTGTATTTTACCTGCAAAACTGCCATTTCTCAGTGCTTTATGCACGAATGTCTTAGGTTGTCATTGGAATGACTAAGTAGTCAGAAGCCAGTTGATATTGATGCTTAAATTTTGTGAGCCACCTTTCAGCCCAGGTAAATGTTTTCTTTATTAATTACTCAAAATGTGTCTCATATTTCACATTTCTAATGAATAAGCAGGCCATAAGGAATTTTTGAAAGAATCGGTGCCTGATACAGGGTTTATTTGACTGAAAACTGACATCAGCATCTAAGCTAGGTGTGTCTGTCTATCATCAGTGGAATTAGAGCTCTTCCCTCCTGAAGCAGGCTTCTGACACAGAATAGGTGAATCATTCTTTAAGAGCGTGCTTTCTCTCCTTTGCCTGCAAAGGGAGTCTCTGGTCAAAAACATGATTGCAGAAATCCGAGTTACAGGTAAGAGGAATTCCACATCTCAAGGTTATGGAAAAGGAGTGGAATCACAAGTCAAATTGGATGAAATAGCTAGTAAATTGCTTAACAGCCAAGAATCTGCTTTTAATCTCTTTCCAAAGTGATTTTATTTTTTCAGTGATTTTTAAGAAAGAAATAATAAGATATTGCACACACATGCTAGCCATGTCCACGTTTCATACATTTGCCCATGGGTCTAACCATGACGCTGTGCCCCACAGCTGGTAATCCAGGGTAAATTCTACACTGAGTGCTTTGCTGCTGTTGCATGCCAGCTGAACCATACCAGCTAAGTGAATTCGTCTTCTGTCACAAAATGTGTACTTTGGCCTTAGTAGCTTTTTTAGCTCCTTCAATAAAACAAAATCCATGTTAAATCTGTAGTCGCTATAACTGATTGCCCTGGAAGCTTGTTTCTTTCCTGGCTGACTTTGCCATAGTAGTTTAAAAATTTCCAGGTTGGAGTTGGTAGTCCAGGTTGGGCTACTAACTCTGATGGACAATTTATGTCCCATTTTGTCTGATACAGTGGCTTATAACACCACTAAACTCAGTTCTGCACCATGCTATTGTGGGAGGAGGCAACCCCTTCCCTTATTTCAGTCATTTAATGCATTGACTGGAAGCATACCTGTCAGCAGGCAATAGCTTATGTGTGTGTAAAAGGGTGTGTGAATGGGTGGAAAGTTGCAGAAGCAAGAAATATAAAGAAAGGCAACACATGTGTTTTAACCATGTACTTGATCATCAGCCCTCAGTATCGGTCACAATGGGGTTGCTGTTAACACGGTCCCCACAATCTGTTAGTTGTCTGCCAAAGCCAGAATAACTTCCAGTGTCTCTTTTTTTGTATTTTTCAGATCAACTTCTTTAAGAAGGGAGCAGAGATGTTTTCAAAAAGAATGGACAGATTTTTGTCATCTGTTTCAGACATGGTTCAAAGGTAATGTCATACTTTTGTTTCCTTTTGTCGTTCCATTGAATTCTGAGCAGTACCATTCTAACCTTTAGCATGTAACAAGAGAGTGCCTCTGCTTCTTACGAGAATTGCTTCCATGCTTGTATTACATTGTTAGGCATATCTTGTTAAAGCAGCAGGTGGAAAAGAGGTATGTGTGTACATATAAAGGAAAATGCTGTCAGTGCACTTCAGGAAGTATTTTTATAGTGTAGATAAGAACTATGTATTCACATGCTTTCTTACATCCCCATATCTCTTCATGGACACAAAAGCACAGAATTTGGGCTTGAAATGGGTTAACAGAATTAACATAATAAAGCTAAAGTGTATTCTGAATTAGAGGTATTCATACTTGCTGGGTCTTCTGTAACAATACTGTAACAATAATCCATTAACTTGTCGAAGGATTTAGGGTCTGTAGTGTTTGATGTTGCAGCTACACAAGGTAAAACAAATCTTGCCCCAGAGAACATACTCATTGCATCCAGTATAGGCTGTATCAGTCCACTGAGTTCAACCTGCTTTGGCTAAGTCAATAACCTGACTTTTGTACTCCTGATTTTGTGATTATTTCTTCTTACACTCTCCCCCCAACCCTGTACTCTACTTGTGGTGAAGATTGATATTTTCTTTATAATTAAGTCCCTGTAAATGTAAACTTTACATTTAAAATGCAATCATGTTAGAGAGAACATTAATCATTTATTTTAAATCAGCTGGAACACTAGACTGAGTCCTTCACATTATTGCCTCATACCTTTCATATCGGACTATAGCCAAATCATTACGTATTCTGACTCTGGTGGCATTTTAAATAATGCATACTTGTTAATTTGAGAATAGTGCTGTAAGTAATTGCCCTGTATAGTAGATTCTTTCACTAAATGATTCTTTGCTTCCTGTACCTTTATACTTACCTTTTCACACTCACTACTGAAATAAATCCTTCTAGAGTCTACACAGCATCTGTACAGACCGGAGGACAGGTTTTAAACTCCCTCGAAATAGTGCCCTTTAGTAAGGCTAGAGCATCTTGTTTGTGTTTTACAGGCAGTGAGGATCCTGCCACTGGATTCTCACCATAGAATAAGCCTTTGTTTTCCAAAGTCTGATGGATTTGAATTCTGGATAGTACACAAATGGAAGCAAAACTAGGCTGCTCGGTTGTTTTGCTGAGTCTTGTTTATTGCGTTTTAAGTCTGTCACAGAGCAAAGCTTGAAAGTGCAACTCAAATGTAACTAGTACAAGAGTGTGACGTCTTTGGAAAAAACAAAAGAGAAGCTTGCAAAATTCTGAATGACACTGTGCAGCTTAGCAATTACTGACACAGGACATGGTTTCATGACTTAAGATTATACAGCCACTGAAAACTGTGCTGCCCACTCCTTTCCTTCTTTAGTGCTGGGGATCACAAGGCCTCAGTGAGTCAGATCTGCTTGCTAATCAAGCTAAAAGCTTTTTATTTGTCAGATTTGTTTTCTGGGAACAACAAGCGAATAAGACCCATTGTGCAGCTACAGAATTTCTGTGGTGATATAGTCTTGCATCTATTTGAGCTGATTGTGAAATCGAGTCTTCATATTTAAAAGTATTTTAATTTATATAGTGAATACTCCTAACCGTTAAAACACATGAGGCAGATCACTAAAATATTCTCATTAACCAGTTGGTCTAATTGCCACAAATGAATATATAACTTCAGAATTGTCAGCTTTCTCTCCTTCTACCTTGGAGATAGAAGAAACATGCCTTATGAAGAGGAATCCGGTCTTGGGTACCATGAAGATGCCAGGGCAGTTTTCTCGGAAGCAATTTGTGATGCAACAAAAAGTGACGGATCAAAAGATTCATTGAAGTAGCGCTCGTGTAAAAAATGACAGCACTGTTCCATTTTATTTCAAAGTGGAATTAAAAAAATTCTTATTCTGATATTTAATGATAACAGTGGAAGGTACTAGCTTGCAATATATGGTCTAATTTAATTCAGATCTGATGATATTACTCAGTCTTTATAACTCAGCCTCTCACATGACTTGGCTAGGTAGTAAGCTGCACACAGCTGGTCTCATTTTGGAGGTGATGTGAGAGCTTAGGAAATCTGGGCTTTCTAAAGACGTGGAAAAGCTGGAAATAAGCTAATGTGAAACAGACTAACACCATTTCATCCGGCTGGTCAGATACTGCTTAGTGCTGACTTAAATGCAACACTGTGTCTCCAGGTTACTTCAACAGTTACAGGATATCACCAGCTTCTACAAAAGACTGGGGAGGAGAAGAGGGGAAGAATCACATGTACTTGTCTTGTACTTTTCCACAGGCTTTTTGCCACTGTCAGAGGCAGGACATTGTACTACATAGACCTCTGCTCTTGCTGTGTACAGCCCGTGTTATGTGCTTATGTTCTTCAAAGGTTTAGCCACTTGTGCAGGAAGTAGGGAGAAAATTGTTTATTGCATAAGTGCAGGTATTAAATGACTTTCTAAGATGTGCAATGACAAGTATTTTTAGGTTCCCACCCCGTGAGTTTTCCTAGTAGCCTGGATACAGTTAATAACTCCTTGGAAAAGTTAATAGAGAAATCAAATATTTGCTAGTATTCTTTTTCTGAAAGTCAAAGTACAGCTGCTACAGTAGGGACCTTGATAGGTCATCTAGTCCACTCTCCTGCTGAAAGCAGGGTCAGTTAGAGCAGAATGCTCCACACTGTGTCCAGTCAAATTTTGAGCATCTCTGTCTGGCACACACAGTATCTCGTTACAGCTTGTGTCCACTGCCTCCCATCCTATCACTGTGCACCTCCAAGAAGAATCTAGCTCCATCTGCTGCATACTCTCCCATCGGGTAGTTAAACTAGCATTGATCCCCACCCCTAGCCTTAACCTTCACTCTGGAAAACAATTCTCACAGCTGCTTCTCATGTCACGTGTTGTGACCCCCTAGGCATCTTGGTGGCTCTTCACTTGACTGTGTTTCTGTCTTTTGTGTGCTGGGGCAACAGAACTAGACACGGTACTCCTGCTGGAGTCTCACAAGTGCTGAGCAGATGGGAATAATTGCTTCCTTTGACTGGCTGGCTATACTCTTGCTCATGCAGCCCAGGATGTGACTGCTTTTTTTGTCACAAAGGCATGGTGCTGGCTCATGTTCAGCATGCCCTCTAGGACCCCCAGGTCCTTTGCTGAAAGTTGCTTTCTATCCAGAAGCTTCCCATCCTTTAGAGTTGCACAGGGTTATTCCATCCCAGGCAGGACTTTGTATTTGTCTTTGCTGATTTCATGAGTCTGTCCATTTCTGCAGCATGTCGAGGTCCCTCTGAACAGCAGCCCTCCAATCTACCATATCATTCAGTTGGTTTTCTCAGTTTTGTGTCATCTGCTCCTATGGGTTGTCCAACTCTAAAGACTCTAAACCTGTAAGCCTCAGTATTGACCTGTGAGGAACATGACTAATAGCTGGGTGCCAGTTGGTCTTTGTCTCACTGATACAACCCTTTGAGCCCTGTAGTCCAGCTGCGTTTTCTACACATCTTGCAGTCTCATCTTGTAGTCGACTTCTCCAGTTTGTATTTCACCAATTTGGCTTATAGGATACTATGGGACTATGTGGAAGGTCTTGCTGAAGTCAAGTGAAAGAGCAGCCACTGCTTTTCTTCTGTCCACTAAGCTAGTCATTGCATCACAGAAGGCATTCAGGATGGTCAGGCATGATTTGCCCATGGTAAATCTGTGCTGGCTGTTCTTCCCAGGTACCACCTTCTTGTCCTTTGTTTGGAGATGCCTGGAGAATGTGCTTTGTAACTTTCCCAGGGGCTGAGGTATGTCTGACTGGCTTGTAGTTCCCCAATTTTTGTTGTCTGTGTCAAAGGCAGGTGTGACACTTGCCTTTTTTTCAGTCAGTTTTGTCAGCCTGCACCAAGAATGTCTTCTGAATCACACCAAAGTGTAAGACAGTATTATGAACAAAATTTAAAGCCAAAATGAGACTTGAGCTATAGATTTTATCATTGTATTGTTCTGAATTCATGGAAAACTTTCTGTTGAAAATCTGTGACCAGTTAATAGGTGGTCTCATGGCAGGAATTAGACAAAGTTCTGTGAAAGCCAAGAAATACTGTAGTAAATCCTACTTTGAACTGTGCCCCTATACTAGGTCAACATCTGTATAATTTCAGCAGTGTAAATTCATACAAGCATTGCTTTTAGGAGCTATATCTCTCAAAAATAAACTTTACTCTTTACTCGCCAACACTTAAGCACCTCTCGTCTGCTCATTTCAGTCTTACAAAACAATCTCATAATTCTGATTGTTATCTCTATACTGTTTGGGAAAGACTACATGTAGTATGAATTGTGGAAAAGCAAGCACAGCTAATGTATGGGACATATTGAGAGTAAAATCTTCAAGCTGGGCTTTCACAATAAAGAGCAAAGGGAAATCCTGGCTGTCCTTTAGCTGCTAGCCTGCAAAAGATAGCCATATTTTCCTTAAACCATTGCTGATACCTTCAGAGCATATGCATCTGGTCTCTAGGCTCAGATGACATTTTCTGGGAGTAGTTCCCTATTGTATGCCTCCTCCTCCCAGTCTTTCCTAACTGCCCTGATTTATCTCATCCTTAGAGAAAGCCTTGGACATGTAATCTTACACTGTATTTCCTATAAAGCCTATTATAAAAATTATCTTTGCACTACTCTCCAGTATAATGAAGCAGCTAAGCCACTATCCATCGTACTTGAGATGGCAGTCCAGTGAAGTTCATGCTGACTAGAAAAGAGGAAATATAACCCCATTTTTAAAAAGGGAAATAAAGAGGACCCAGGGAACTGCAGTCCAGTCAGTCTCACCTCTGTGCCCAGCAAGATCTTGGAGCGCATCCTCCTAGAAACTATGCTAGGGCACATGGAAAATAAGAAGGGGATTGATGACAGCCAACATGGCTTCTCTAACAGTAAATCATGCCTGACGAATTTGATGGCCGCCTACAACAGAGTTAGTTTTCATGGATAAGGGAAGAGAAACTGAGGTCATCTACCTGGATTTGTGCAAAGCTTTTGACGCTGTCTTGCATGACATCCTTGTCTCTAAATTGGAGAGATGTGGATTTGATGGATAGACCACTCGGTGAATAAGGAATTGGCTGGATGGTTGCACTCAGAGTTGCGGTCAGTGTCTCAGTGTCCAAGTGGAGGGGGGTGATGAGTGGTGTTCCTCAGGGGTCGGTGCTGGGACGAGTGCTGTTTAACATCTTTGTTGGAGACATGGACAGTGGGATCAAGTGCACCCTCAGCAAGTTTGCCAGTGACACCGAGCTGTGTGATGCGGTTGACATGCTGGAAGGAAGGGATGTGCCATCCAGAGGGACCTGGACAGGCTGGAGGGGTGGGACTGTGCCAATCTGATGAAGTTCAACAAGGCCAAGTGCAAGGTCCTGCACATGGGTCTGGGCAATCCCAAGCACAGATACAGGCTGGGTGGTGAGTGGGTTGAGAGCAGCCCTGCGGAGAAGAGCTTGGGTATAATCGTAGATGGAAAACAGTATGAGCCAGTAATGTGCGCTCACAGCCCAGAAAGTCAACTGTGTCTTGGGCTGTATAAAGAGCAGTGTGGCCAGCAGGTTGAGGGAGGGGATTCTCCCCCTCTGCTCTCATGAGACCCCCTCTGCAGTGGTGTGTCCAGCTCTGGGGCCCCCAACATCAGAAGGACATGGACCTGCTCGAGCGGGTCCAGAAGAAGGACATGAAGATGATCAGGGGCTGGAGCACCTCCCATGTGAGGACAGGCTGAGAGAGCTGGGGTTGTTCAAGCCTGGAGAAGAGAAGGCTCTGGGGAGACCTCATAGTGACCTTCCAGTACTTAAAGGGGCTGCAGGAAAGCTGGGGAGGGACTCTGTCAGGGAGTGTAGGGATAGGACAAGGAGTAACAGTTTTAAACTGACAGAGGGTAGATTTAGATTAGATGTAAGGAAGAAATTCTTTACTGTGAGGGTGGTGAGGCCCTGGCACAGGTTGCCCAGAGCAGCTGTGGCTGCCCCCTCCCTGGCAGTGTTCCAGGCCAGGCTGGACGGGGCTTTGGGCAACCTGGGCTAGTGGAAGGTGTCCCTGCCCATGGCAGGGGGGTGGGACTAGATGGTCTTTAAGGTCCCTTCCAACCCAAACCATTCTGTGATAATCTCAGCTGGTATTTTTGTTCATTTTGGCTTACAGATGTTAGCTATATCATGCTATAAATTGACTAATGATGGCTTTGTGTTTCTTCTTGTGTTGTTTTTTTCCAGCATACAGGGAGAGCTGGATGCTGAAACTGAAAAAATGAGGGTATCCCAGCAGGACTTAATTGCAGTTAATGAATCTGTTTACACCCCGGATTCTGATGTAACTTCACCTGCTATCAATAGAAATCTCATCCAGAAGGCTGGCTACCTTAATCTTAGAAAGTAAGAAGACTGTTACTACCTGCTGGTTTGTTTAGCTGCTGACTAGTTGCTACATTTTCTTTTTTTTTTCGGTTATAAAAACTCCTCAGGTAATGACGTATGAGGATCCTGAATCACTGTGGTAGCTGTACTCTTCAGCTGCTAAGTATCTCTGTCATCTTTGGAAATGTGTTTTAGAAGCTTAAACTAAATTAGAGCCAATTGAGACTGTTTTCCTGGAAACAAAAGCTTACTTATGGTTGAAATCACCTACAGGGGATGATTTCCTGTATTTAAGTGGCTAAAAATTAGAGACTGGTGGAGCTGGGTTCATATTGTTCCCAGTTCTTAGGGCTAATGAAAACATAGTGTTTAGAAAAATAAACAGCTATATTTTGTAGTTAATACACGTTTTCATAAATTATCTCCTTTACATTAATAAAAGCTTTATGAACAGTGCAAGTGCATAACTTCGAATGTATACCATACATAGAGTTACCTCTGCAGATTTTCCAAATCTTCTATCAGCTTCTGCAGGAGATATGTATATTGGTGGCATATAGTAATCCTGTTTAGGTGATTGATCAAATAACAGTTTATTTGTATTTGACCTAGTAATTATTTTTTTTTTTTTGTGGGTGGACATTTATTAATTTCTCATAGCATTCTAAGACTTGGATTGCAATATAATAGGACTCTATAGCTAGGGAGATGATGGACTCTGAGATACTACTTGCAGAAAATACTTTTTTTTAATGATGATTCTTTGTGCTGAAATGGCTCATGCTGCTCTTCAGCTTAAAAATACTTTTTTTTTTAATGCTGCTTAATAGTATTTCATGTCAGTTAATACTAATAATTCTTTTATTCTGTAACTAGGAGATGCTGCAGAGAATGTTTTATAACTTGGGATGTTTGAAAGTAGCTTAATTCTTCATTAAGGATTAGTTTCTGCAAGGAATAGGTGCTACGTTTACTTCTTAATGGAGACTCATTAAAAAAATTCCAGGGTTGAACATAAAGTTCAGATTAGCATCAGGATATGTTTGCAGTTTCATATATATTTGGAGTAATTTCTAAATAGTAATGAGTCTTTATTACTGTATCTTCAGTAAAACAGGTCTGGTGACTACAACTTGGGAAAGACTGTATTTCTTCACTCAAGGTGGCAACTTGATGTGTCAGCCAAGGGGAGCAGTAGCTGGAGGATTGATTCAGGACCTGGACAACTGTTCTGTTATGGCTGTAGACTGCGAAGACAGAAGATACTGCTTTCAGATCACGACTCCTACTGGCAAAGCGTATGAGACAGGTTTTATTTGAGGACAGCCAGTCACACCTACCCTTTCATGTAAAACGTGCTTGCTCTAATAGTAAGCCTTTCTGAGTTTCCAGAAGGATGTTTCCAAATTAAAAGCATGTTCCTTCTCATCCTCCCTCACAACTGCCTGAACAGCACATGCGGCATCTTTTAGCTGTGGCTTATTCATTACTTTTGTTCTTTTGACAAAGCTTGGTGATGTCACTGTAAGACTTGGAGTCAGACACTCCTGGTGTCCACTGTTAAGACTAATATGCTATGTTTATATTTTAGGGGTATAACCCTTCAAGCAGAAAGCAAGAAAGAGTATGAGGAGGTAAAAATATTTTCTTAATGCTATTATTCTTGTGTTTAAGTGAGCTTGAAAAGTTCAGTTTCATTTTTCCCTTCCAGTGGATATCTGCCATCAACAACATCTCCAGACAGATCTATCTCACTGACAATCCAGAGGTGGGAGCTTGTTTCCATCTTTCAGTCAATTCCTTCCAACTTGCTTTCCCATTGTTCTTTACATGGCAACATAAAATGTGCATAAAAGAGCTGTTCGGTCTTGTTTTCACAGGCAGCTGCAATCAAGTTAAATCAGACAGCCCTACAAGCAGTGACTCCCATTACCAGTTTTGGGAAAAAACATGAAGTTCACCACCCCAGGTAACACTCTTACTTGCACTGACTAGAGACTCATGTGCTCAGTCATGATCTTTTTACAGGGCAGCAGTCACCTGGGAGAAAGCCCCATCTAGGCCTTGGCTTTACAAAACTCTGTGTTCCAGCAAATTCCTCTACTTCTGATGTTTCCTACTGAATGAAAGCCATAAGAGATTCCAAGTGTTGAGGGTAATGCTTATTGCTCCACACCACAGCTTTGAAGCTCTTTGCAGTTGGCCGTTGGGATTTTGCTGTTTCTTCAGAAAAAAACACAATGCTTTATTGTAAGTGCTTTGCTGTAGGGGAATGACTTGTAATGTGGATAATAGAGCAGGGTCCCTGGTATGCACTGAAGTAAGTATGTTCTTGCGTATTACCTCAAGCAGTGCCTTCAGTCTGTCACAGGAACATGCCTTACACTGCTGTCAGAATAATTACTGTTAATTCTCTTGTGATCATTCAGATCAATCAATGAAGCTCCCCTGTTTCAAGAATTCTCAGTAATATTCTGGGATATGCTTATATTCAAAATACATATTTTATATATCATTTCTTTGTGTCCACATCATCCTAGTATCTTACCCAGTGGGAATTCTTCAGACTTCATCATCACGGTTGGCTTTCAAGCCCAGTACTGGACTGAAATCCTGCTTTCAGAAGCAGTGTGGTAAATAAAATAGGGCAAGTTTGTACCACACTGACTTCAGCATGAAGAGACTTCTCTGCAAGTTTTGTTAGAGAATTGTAAATTCTTACTTAGATACTTACTTCTAGAAATTCAAACCTTTTCCAGATCCTCTGCTTCTCAGGCCAGGGCCTTTACTATGATCTGTGATTCCCTGTATTATGATTGCTTACAGATTCCAAAGATTCCCTATACCATGGGGAATGCCAGTCAATTTCTTCTTAATTTGATTCACAGTACAGGTGTTTGACTACAGAAATATATTTCAATGGTGGCTAATCTCCCAAATCACTTCTACATCTGTATGCAACAAGAAAACTTTCTAGAAATAGAAGGATGCTGCTAGTAAACCCAGTGTACCATAGGTAGTGATGTGTGTAGTTACAACTTCTGTAGCTGTGGGAAACATAGCGTTTCATTCTCTTTGAGAAAAAGTGCAGGAAGAAATCTGTCCCAGTGTGTAACACTTTTTAACCATCACATTGTAACAAGCCTGTGGCCAAGTAAGATCTAAAAAAGATGTCAGGATTGTCACTGATACGTGTGGACACAAGTCCAGGTCTCTGCTGTTTGCACTGGTAATGCGGCTGTAAATACCGCCACGAGAGGGCAGGGAGGCAAACAGCAACCTGTTGCTGAAAGTCTGCCCACAGTCAGAGTTGATCTGCATTCAGATTTAATATACCAGCATTTACTTTTTTCCTAAATATTTTTAGGTACAAAAAAATAAAACAGAGGTTTGATTAGAGTCCTCAGTAACAAGTAAATAGGAAAATACTCATGTATAGTCGTTCAATCCTGCTTTGGAATTTTGAATAATCTTGTCTCCCTTCCAGAGCAAAGATAGGGTGTCATTGATTGATTGAGACTTTTTTTTTTTTCTCCCCATTTTCTCTTTAGCCAGAATGTAAAGAATATGGAAAATGATAAAATAATTCCCAGTGAATCAGCTGGCATTCAAGACTCTTCACAACTCATTGCTCCTGGGACACCGATTCAATTTGATATTGTACTGCCTGCCACAGAATTCCTGGACCAGAACAGAGGTGGCAGGTATGGCCAGAGACAGCAGTCAATCACTTTTAACAGTGATTTTAGGAGAGAAAATTAGGTATTGCAACATGGGTGTCTGGTGACCAGAATCTGTAATTAGTTTTTATTCTTATTTCGTAGGCGTGCAAACCCATTTGGGGAATCTGAAGACAGCAGCAAAGATGAGGTGGAAGGTCAGTGCTTCATTTTTCTAGACAAAATTAGTCATGATTTTAGGCCTAATCCAGCTGTCAGCTCTCCCGTGTCTCTTAACGAAAACACCAGACACAGTGGAGCAGCAGTAACAGATCCGTAGTACAGTTGAAGGTAGTTACCTTTCAGACGCCAGTCTTTTAAACATCATTACCTTGAAAACAAACATCTTTTTCCTTAACAGTCCAAGCTGTATTCCAGGTTAGGTTTATTTCAAATGTTTAAAGGCAGAAAGATGTGGTTTTCTTGGGTTTTTTTGTCTTTCATTCCTTTCCTTTTTCCATTTTTAAAGTAGCTGTTGACTTCTTTAGGGTTTGATAGACTGTACTATAATTCTGCTCAAGTTTGAGGCTGCTTAGTAGCCATTTCTTACCCCTGTTCACTCTGAAATCCACCATCTAAATCTTACAGAGGAGCAGCCACACGGAGAGTTTTCACTGCTGCCCCATTTCCCTCCTCGCAGTGACGTGCCAGTAAAGGTCAGCAGTTCTGACTTGCCTCTCCCAGCACGTGTCGGGCTCAGATCCTGGCTGTTCTCTTCCACTGTGCCAGTTACAGCCGCTGTCTGGAACCATCAGCCCCTCTCAGAAAACTACCCACAGAACCAAAGCACAACCCCCTGACCTCCGCACCCTCCCTGGCGTGCGCTGTCCCACGGCGAGGTGGGATGGTCACGGGCCGCCCGACAGCGCCGTAGCTGGGACAAGCGGGTGCTTCCACACCGCCAGCGGTGCTTGGTCACTGCCCTGCGGCCCGGGACACACCAGTGGATCAGCGTAAGCTCAGCTCAGGCTGATGCTTAACAATCTTTCTGGGGTCTTGTACAATGTAGACGCAGCTGTTGTGGCCTTTGAATAGCCATATTTAGCAGGAGTCATCCCGCTTTACCTTGCTCACCACCAACTATAAAAGGAGCCTGGTCAAATGATGGCTTTGTCATGTGTAAGTAGGAGCCTTATGGTGATTATGGGCAATGAGCAAGGAAGGATTTAATGAAAACCACTTTGGAACCAGCTGAATGGAAGGTCAGAAGGACATAGAAGAAAATGAAAAATGTACAAGGTTTAAAGATAAGAGCTAATTTGATGGAAGCCAAGGCTTGTTCACAATCATAAATTTATCACAGTTTATGTACACCTAATAACAAAGTAGGCAAGTGAATTTTACTAGCTAATCAGATAAGGCCTAAAGGCCCAGTTACACTTTCAGTTTCCAAGCAGCTGTTATTGGTTTGGGTTCTTTTTTTCCCCTACTCACTCCCAGTTCAAGCACTGTTTAAAATTGGGTCAGAGCACTGCCTGGCTCGCAGCAGGAAGTCACCACTCACAGCAGTCACCACCCACAGGTTTACTGTTGAATTTCCAGAGTGAAAAAAACAGTTTCATTGATAACTTCAGCTACTGGAAAATTGAAGTAGCACAGTGAAGGAAGTCATGCCTTTTATCTTCCAGATTCCCTCTTGCAGCAGATGTTCGTCGTTCGGTTTTTAGGATCTATGGCTGTTCAGTCAGATGACACCAGCGAGGTGATTTATGAAGCTATGAGACAAGTGTTAGCTGCTCGTGCCATTCACAACATATTCCGTATGACTGAATCCCATCTCATGGTCACCAGCAAGAACTTGAGGTACTGTAAAACCTTCAAATTGTCAACATTCTGTTCTCTTCATACAACTTGTGATTTGTTAAGTATTTTTTGTTTTGTTTTTCCAAGAAATAAACCCTTTGACGGAGCAAGATCCTGAGATTCACTTAGTAAAAATATCTCTGTTCATATTCTGTAGTATCTAGAAACCATCCTCCTGACTACATTGCAAGGACATCCTACCAAAATTTAGGGGACGCAGTGGGGCTGTAAGGCCCTGCAAAGACACAGGAAAAGATGAAAAGCATTGGAAGATTCTTCCCTTACATGTAGCAACAGCAAGAGAGCCATCACTGTCCTGTTGTCAGTGTTGTCCCTGTAGAATGTGTTGATACATGACCTTCACTTTACCTGGAGTGTGTTTATGTCCACATGCATGTTTAGTGTACCAGCCCACACACTGGGGGTCCTCAGTGAATTAGTGATTCTGAAAAACGCCCTGACCTGTACGTGTCAGGCAGCTGGGGGTCAGGGTCCAGAGCTGAACCTTGCCATTGACTGACTTTAAATCACACATGAACCATTTGATTCTATGCATTTGTTTCCTCATCTGTAAAACTGCTGTAGTGATTGCCTTACTATTATAAAGCACCTTGAAATTACTAAGAATCACTCTAAAATCCTTTTTTTTTTTTTTTTTTCTTTCCCTACACATAATTGCAGGTTAATAGATCCTCAAACACAAGTTACACGAACAAGTGTAAGTAACTTTTATTTTAAATTTGGTTTTCTACCACAGCATTAAATACTCAGTCACACAAACTTGAGCTCTTAACCATGCTAACCAAATGCTGGGTAAAAAAAATTCTTTATTATACTTTTCCAGTTTGAACTTGCCACTGTGACACAGTATGCTGCTCATCAGGATAACAGGCGGCTGATTGGCTTTGTGGTCCATCTCAGTGAGACTCTGGGAGAAGAATCCATGAGCGCGTATGTTTTTGAGAGCAACACGGAAGGGGAGAAGGTTTGCATAACATTTAATAAGTTTATTTATAAAATAGATCATAGGCTTCTTGGCGTAGACATCATGGAAATAGTGCGATAGAAGCAAGCGCAGCTCTATTTCTTGTCAGGAAAATATGCCTTAACATGCAAACCTTTGATGGCTCGTTGTCTAAAAAGGACCAGATTTATAGATAATGCAGCAGCATGTACAGCAAGGAGGAAAGGATGTGATTGCTAATACCAGCATTAAGAGCAAGGGAATGTGCTTTGTCTAGCATCAGCACTAACAAAACCAAACGTCGGCTGTGTTGATGTGTACATCTATAAAGCTTTCAGAGACAAGACAGACAGCTGTACTGGGGTAGCACCACCAGGGGCTTGCTGCCTATGATAGTAACAGTTAGAAATAGGGAATGTGCTGGAGAATTTTTGTATTAAAAACAAGTAACACTCGTACATCCACTGGAAGAGATCCCCCAGGTTTGAAAATAAAGTTTGGTGAATAAAACTGAGTTGAGTACAAAGATTTACCAGCCTAAGTGAGCTCTGAAGCAGAACCAAAGACAGTTTCATTTTTATGTAGTTAGCATAGTGAACTGGTATTCCACCTCTGCTTTTAGACCAGTATTTAAGACTAAGTTTGCTTTGACACTTCTGTGTTTTAGTCCCAGTTAAGGAACAAAAACCATACAAAAACTGAACTTTATGTATCTTTTTTTTAGATTTGCTATGCCATTAGCTTGGGAAAAGAAATCATTGAGGCACAGAAGGTAAGTTTGTTTCATTCCCCATGACTGTGCTGTGCTAAGTCATATTCTGCTTTTGGTTGCACCATTCAGGTACCTCTGGTGTGTTCGAGAAGAAAGAACCACTCATTCTCCTGATAACAAAGTTCTAGGACATTATTTAACAGTCTGTGTTAAATAAACTTGGTTTGACTTTGCAACAGCTTGATTTGAGACGTTTGCCAACCTAAATCAGATTCAGAACTATACAAATCCAGTTGTTCACATTTGAAAGGAAGCTGTGAGCAAAGTTGTTTTTAAAAAAAAAACCTCTTTGGGATGAAGTGTAAATCATACACATTGCTGTTTCACTTCTAGAAACTCATATTCCTTCCTCCCTTAGGAGCAGCAATGTTACTCAGCCCATTGTAGATAAATTTTATCTATATAAAGATATGACACTAATACATTAGTATTTGCTGTATATTTTTGCTGCTGAGATTGCAGAACAATTGGGGGAATTAACTTTTAGTCACAGGTAATAAGCACAGGTATAATAAATAATTTATTTAGTTATTTTTCCCCCCTGTTTTCAGTAATTATATCAATGCCAGCTAAGAACAGCAAAACAAAGGCTCAAAATTAATGATTTTCTCTTTTCTTATAGAGCCAAGGGGTGTTTTTACTGACCTGAAAGGGATTATTTATGTTTCAAACCTTAAGACTAAGGGTTGTCATAAAAGTAGTTGCAAAACCTTAACAAGAAGTACTGGGAAAAATGTGCACTTCTCATTGCTGCAGCCTGCTGCATGCTCTTTTGTTTTTCTTCAGGACCCAGAAGCATTAGCTCAGCTTATGAAGTCTATGCCATTAACAAATGATGGAAAGTTTATGCTTCTGAATGATCAGTCAGAAGAGGATGGAACCATACATGAAGAAGGGGAGGAGTCAGAAGCATAAAAGACTTGTCATTTCCTGCAGCCAGTGTGGAAGCCAGAAAAGGAGGAAATCTTTTTGCAAGACTGGTTTTCAGTCATCTGCGCACACATGAGGCCAGGTTCTGACTTCCTGCTGGAGGGATTGTGGCACCTCTGCAGTGGAGTTTCCTCTGGATTTACAATGAAACAACAGCTGGACTTGGCCCTTGAGGCTTTTTGCATTTGTGAATGTGTGGTGTACAGGCCTGTCGGGACGCTGACAATCCTGGGGAGTGTCTCAGCCTTGGCCCCTTGCGGCTGACAGCTGGGACAGCACAGCTGTCATCCACAAGGGCTTAATGTCAGTTCTTCAGATTTACAGGGGAGCAGCTGCCAGTTCACTGAAAGTAGTGCAAGCTGTCTGCTCCTTTAACAAAGATCCGGCCTCAAATTTCCTACAGTAGTCAATTTTCATAGTTTGCATGGTTATGTGCATCTGAATGAAGGTTAAAAATGCACTATTTACTTTATTTTCAGATGAAGTTATTTTTAGTCTAGTTTAAGTGTAACAAGATTTATCTTTTGTGCTAGCCTATTTACAAAGCAATTTGTTAAACACTAAATTTTTCCTATTAATATAATCTATTTTTATATTGCATCTAGAATAAGCTTACAAAACAAATCTAAGTGCCTACTCTTTCCTTCTTGGGGACTGCACTCTCACATTCTGTAATTAAATAATGGACATAATGTACCTCCTTGATTCATTATGCTAAATACCACTGATATGCAAACATCAGAAGAGTCAACAAATGTGACATGTTAGTTGCGTGCATTTTTCTGTGGGTAGGTTTCTTAAAAGTTAAGTTGCCAGACATGATAGTTGTAGGACAAATAAGTACTTTTATAATAAGAATTCTTTGTATTTTTAACATTAGTCACATGCAACAGCTGAGTCTACCACCAGTCTTTGGTTTTAAGAAACTGAGCAATAAAATGCTAGATTGTAATTCTACAATGTACTGATTAGTCTTGTAATACCTTCTTGAAATAGGACACTAGATATATTTGGCTAATAAGTTTAGATTCTTTCTCCTCCAGTTTAACCTGAAAACCTGAGAAACTGTATTTGGCAAGAAAAAACAAAAACAGTAGTTATTGGGGGGTAGGGGGGTGTAATCTGTGGCATAGTTTGTATTAATCAAGATAAAGGTAACTGGAACAAACGGCTGAAATTCCTTGAACTTAATTCAACTTTTCCTCAATCACTTACTAGGAAACTAACTACATTTTCTGTAAGCAGAATCTGTGATACAGCATCTGAAAGACCAGTTTTCAAGTCTGACATTGAATTTACTCAATTTAGCTGGTTGTTGAATGTTTAAAAGAACCATGGAAGAAAACTGTTAGTTACTGACACAAAAACTTCCTCATAAATAAAAGTTGAAGCTGTCTTATTAAAAAAGTTAACACCTGCTGAACTGATGTTACTGAAGACACTAAGAATGAGGTTCTCAAAATTGCATTTATTAACAGTTTTATGTACATGTTCTCTACTCACAAACCAAAGAGACTGAGGTAACAAAATACCCTTTTGTACAATGAGCGAGGAAACATTAAGTGTTACATTTGGTCCTTTGTACCTGAGAAGCTGAAGACAGCTGTTGTTGATGGACATCAGATGAAAACTCAAAATTTACTTCTGATTACAGACCACATTAGGACCTCCAGAATCTACCCCACAGCACAGGCCCGTCTCTTCCCAGTGATGCAGACACCAGCTGGGTGCTGCTGCTGGGGCCATCCTTATCCCCAGGCAGAGCAAACACCTTGTGACCTGTGCTCCACCCCCGACTGCGGTGCTTCAAGGGAGAAGGGCAAGGCAGCCCCTGGCTTCTGGCAGCGCAGGAGAGGGCAGCTGCAAGAGCTGCTGCTGCCTGTACAGGCAACAGCCTTGGCACAAGACTAGACACACGAGGGCAGGGGTGGCAGCTGCCTTCTCAGGGAGGAGACTCCCCTGCAGCCTGTTCTGCCCCTGCCTTGAAGAGAAAAACCCTAGAGATCTGTTCTGTGTCCCTGCAGCAAACTCATCATCCTCACTTTCATCACCTCAGGGAATTTTGAGTAAGCACATTCAGTTTAGTTTGGGGGATTTTTTTTGTTTTAACTCCATCTCACCTTCAGACAACCAGTTAGGGTCCATTTTGTTCCTATAATTAGAACAGGAGGGCAAAAACCATTAAGAGAGTAGTAGCACCACAGCAAGAATTTTGCACCTCTTCCAGATCCTTGAAGGGGGAAAAAGGATTTAATGCAACTCTCACTGACACAGAGGGGTGTGTGACATCAAAATCCAGGGCCCACCTTGTATTTCAGATGAGAAAAGCTTTCTACATGTATATGCTGCTACATGACAAAGAAAGAAAGAAATCTAAACTACAATCCAGTATTAGCAAGAATAGCTCTTATCACTGTACATATTTGTATGTATTTATATATTTTTGCCACATATAGTATACATTCAGGTCTCCCAGATTAAACAGGGTTCTATAAAAATAGGCTTACATCTTTCCTGTAGAATTTCCATCACCAGAATGGCATGAACTTGTTAACCACCATGCACAGTTAAGATTTATATTCAACTGCAAAGTATTACCTATCTGAGATAGTGTCTTTCCAAAAAAATAGAAGGGAAAATACAAGTCAAGATTTTATTAGAGCACAGGTAATGTCTTGACTGTACATAGCTACCTAGCAACTCCATCCCAGGGGAAACCAACACCACCTATACGTGATTCTGCAGTTGCTGTGGAAGAGGAAAATGCAGTACTCGGCCACTCCAAGCCAAAAACTTAAACGACTTCAGATGAGAGGGGAATATGGAAATATGTACACTGCAATTGCAGCAGTATGGAAAGGAGCAGCAGCAGCAAGAATGCTGATCTCAGCAGTGCTACCGAGCCTTCAGTGCGGGCACAATTTGGTCAAAAAAGAAAATGTACACAAAATACAAAAAAAATACCTGTATCAAAATAAAAAAGCAAAAATATAAATCAGGTAATGCAGCATTGTTTAGGGCAGTCTCTGCAGTTATAATGAATTAAAAATAAAAACTTGAATGAGTTCAGCTGATTTAAACAGTTCATGAAGCTTCTGTGTCATGTTTTCAGAACCAAATGAAAGGACTTTCACATCCGTCTGGTCTTTCCAGTTGCAACAAACATTTGTCCTAGCTTTCTGAATGTTGAAGTGACTGGCCGGAAAGGGAGAATCACATCAGGAATTGTGGCTTAAGCAGTGACCCAGGGGTGGGTGGAACAATTTGAACCATTAAAACACCACCTTTTCTGTAATCAGATGAAAGAAGCTGGCAAGTATGGTCTACAAATAGTTAAGAGTGCCACCCCAAAAAGCAATTCTCAGTTGGACTGACTAGAGTGATTTCTTCTAGTTAGTAAGACCGAGAAATGTTTTATGTTCTGAGAGATTAAAGTACAACTAAATCTTTTAATGAAAGTGGTGTTTACTTCTACGCTAAGTCTAGCTACTGACTTAAGTTAGCAATCTGAGTAATTCTTGCACAACCTAGAACCTCTACTTGCAGGCATTACAGATGTTAGATTTATAAAGAGTTCTCACAGTGTTCAGCAGCTTCTGAAGCCTGCAGTGCAATTACTGTTGTTAATCAGGCATGTAAGACTGTATGAACAACACAGACGGTACAACAGACCTACAAAGGCTAGGAAATACAGAATTGAGGCTGAAACTTGCAATTAGGCACAACAAATTCATGAACTTTAAGATCACTTAATAGTTACAGACACCCATCACACAGTGTCTGGTCATAAAAGGAAGAGCTGATTGTGGTTCTGTCTTGGCTCTGGATTTCCTTACTTCTGTGGATGCAAATCAGACCTTCGGTATGAAATGAGAAGTAATTTATTATGTCAACTTTTCTGGTTTGCCCATTCTCTGATATGGGGGAAAAAACAGTAGGGGAAAATAAATGCCTGACAGGATCCCAAGTTCCCACAATGCAAATACTATCTATAGTAATAATAAGGGTTTGTGGAATAAAACATTAATAAGAATTTCCATTTTCTGTAATAGCTTTAACATACACTGTTACACCTACAGTGTAATCTGTGACCACGTTAAATACAGCAGGACTGCATAGAAACATGTCTGAATTAATTTTTGGACAAGAGATAAACACAGCATCTTAATTTTTTTTTCCTGGTTGCAGAGATGCACCAGTTCATGTTGTAGACCAATGGCCTATGAGTTGGTTTTTCTGTTGTTGGTTGGTTGGTTTTTTAACAACTATGTTAGAGATGCAAGAATGCATCTAAAAATTAGTAAGATTTTTTTTAATCTGCACATTTGTAATTTAAAATAACTACCTCCAAGGTCAACGTTTTATATAATTACTTTCAATCTAAAGAAGGTGCTGTAAATAATGTAAACTCCTGAAAAATAGGAGTCTCTAAAGGAAATATTCACAAACACAGACCTAGCCTCACTGGATGCTAGTATACTACTGTACATTTTCTCTTGGGTTTAACAGAGCAAGTAAATCAAATCTAGAGCTTTTACCCCTACAGAGTGTTACTGATAACAACAAGAACAAGAATTATTTGATTAAGTAATCATCGCCCATACCAGCCACATCATTTCACAACAGGATCAGCAGGTGTAGAGTTGGAAAGATCTCCATTGCTTGCTTTAGCAGATTCTTCTACAAAAATAAAAAAGTAAATACATGCATCATGTTTAAGATTTTATTCAAGGCAGTAAAACAAAGTCTTAGCATATATATGATGCTGATGTCATAACACACTTGATACAGTATACCATAGTCCACATATGCAAACTGATCTTGCAGCACAAAGGGTTCTGGCCCTATGAAAAAATCCGTATTTGGGGTGAAAGGTTTCTTCAACCAGTAGAACTTGTGTAAAGATTACATACGCAAACATTTTGCAGAGTTCAAGTCCAAATATTACTGTAGATGGCAAAGATATGTTACCATGTTCAAAATTTTTCACCCTGGTATGCATGTCAAGCTTGTCTCACCACAAAACATGCTTTTCAGGGAACTGAACACATATCACAACAGTGAATATTTAACCTAAAATATAATTAAGTAACTGATGTTCTACAGAATGCTCTCCTAAAGAAGCCAGGGTAGTATGTCTATTCTTACTCATCACAGTACTTGCAGTTGGGTTTTGGTTTGGGGGTGGGTTGGTTTGTTTGTCTGTTTTTTTTGCGGGGGTGGGTGTCCGGAGGGTTTTTTCAGGTTTTGAATTGAATTTGAGAAACTTCACTGAATATGATCAAATATAAGATTATGCTAAAAAACTTCTTTCTTTGCAAATTATTTTCCTAGAGCAGAAGAAAACTAATCTTTGGCTCCAGTGACTATAATCTCACAGGCCACTTGTGCCTGTCAGAACTACAGTGGAAAACTATTTACCGATTCCCCTTTTTAATATACTACTACCTGAGTTTCTAAGTAACTTGTGACTGAATTGTACTTTTATATTTTAATCCTTGGGAGTATTCTCATTTCTTTGAAAAGAATTTTCCTATACTCAAGAGAATCTTTCAGAATTCATGAGGGAGAACATATAAACACAGAATATAAAATGCAAAATACCCATGTTACCTAGGCAAGAGACCATACCACAAATTAAGATCTTACCCTTTTAATATAATTCAATGGTAGACCAAAACATATCAAAAACATCTCGAAGACACCTATGGTATCTGCATCACCTGCCTACATAAGTTGAAAAACAGCTGGTAAACAATAGGTGAAAAACACCCATTTATTTCACACCAGCAAAGGTTGTGCAGAAAAGGCTGTCATTGTCCAAACTGGTAACTGACAGGGTAAGTATGGTGCTGAAGTTACTGAATTTAGTATTACAGCAAGTATGCAGTTCTCCCCGCCCCACATTTTTTTGTGATATTGGCTTTTTTTTGTTTCATTTCCCCTCAGAAGCTCAGCTGGAAATTCACCCCATTCCAAAGAAGGCCTCTGTCAGCTGTTCTTGACTCCCCAGTCACCCTTGACCCCATTAAAAAAAAAAAAAAAAATCTTTCTGGAATACTGAATCAACCCACTGGCAAGAAAGCAGCTATGGAAAAAGAAGAAAAGCACCTTCCCCATTAAGACACACACTCTCATGAGCCAAAATGTTCCACATATAGTGTTCACTCACCTTCTTTTTCTTTCTTTTCCTGGTTTTCTTCTGCTGCAGTTTTATCTGCTCTGAAAAAAATTCTTGCACTACTTAGTGAGAAATAAAGGAGTTCAAATTCCTAAGGGAAAAGATACAGAAGAGGAGTGTCAGAGTATCACAAGAATGAATTTG